AACAAGAATCATTGAAGCTAGACATGATCGATCTTGCTTCTGGAGTGATTCGAATCTCAAACAAAGTGTTCTTGGCTTGAGATATTCGATCAACAAGGTAATCCGAATCTTATTCCCCTTGTATTGATTCCTTATCTTATCATTTGGTATCAGAGCTTCAGGCTCAAGATCGGATATATGTTTCCTTTGCGTTTCTTCTCAATTTGATTTTTATTTATTTTCATCTTTTTAGTTTTTAATCGACCCAAAGTTCAAAATTCAATTTTTCTCTATTTAAAATTTTGAGAGGTGAGAATGAGAGCTTCATTTGTGTAAATGAGTGCAAACAGAGTGGCCTAAAATTCCTTGAGTGTATACACGTGAGAGAGTGTTGTGAGGTCCTTTGTATTTCCATAACTTATTTTTTGCAGCAAAGTTTCACAAATAGATTCGAGGACGAATCCTCTTGAAGAAGTGGAGAATGATATGAACCAAGAGACATCAATCATACAATATGCTTCAATGAAGATGTGAAGAAAAGGTTGTCAAAATTATCAAAAGATGTTTCAATTCATGCTACATTGAAGAAGAATAAAGTTTGATTGTTGTAAATTTTGGGTGGGTTATAATTTAGAGTTATTGTGTTTTAAGACTTTTTATTTAATTTCGGTTACATTTACATAATGGCTAATTATGGCCATAAAGTGTGAATGTTACAACTTTTGGAATGCCTTTAATAGTTTCATTTTGAGGCTATATAAAGCCATCTATGTTGTATTTGTAATAAGACTTAGAAGATATATCAAAAGAAGCATTTGTGCTTTTCTTTAGCCAATGGCTAAGTTTCTTTGCAACTCTATGTAGTTTAGGTTGCATGTAGAATCATTCAAGCTCGACATGATCAATCTTGCTTGTGGAGTGATTCGAATCTCAAACAAGTGTTCTTGTCTTGAGATATTTGATCAACAAGAATCATTGAAGCTAGACATGATCGATCTTGCTTCTGGAGTGATTCGAATCTCAAACAAAGTGTTCTTGGCTTGAGATATTCGATCAACAAGGTAATCCGAATCTTATTCCCCTTGTATTGATTCCTTATCTTATCATTTGGTATCAGAGCTTCAGGCTCAAGATCGGATATATGTTTCCTTTGCGTTTCTTCTCAATTTGATTTTTATTTATTTTCATCTTTTTAGTTTTTAATCGACCCAAAGTTCAAAATTCAATCTTTGCTCTATTTAAAATTTTGAGAGGTGAGAATGAGAGCTTCATTTGTGTAAATGAGTGCAAACAGAGTGGCCTAAAATTCCTTGAGTGTATACACGTGAGAGAGTGTTGTGAGGTCCTTTGTATTTCCATAACTTATTTTTTGCAGCAAAGTTTCACAAATAGATTCGAGGACGAATCCTCTTGAAGAAGTGGAGAATGATATGAACCAAGAGACATCAATCATACAATATGCTTCAATGAAGATGTGAAGAAAAGGTTGTCAAAATTATCAAAAGATGTTTCAATTCATGCTACATTGAAGAAGAATAAAGTTTGATTGTTGTAAATTTTGGGTGGGTTATAATTTAGAGTTATTGTGTTTTAAGACTTTTTATTTAATTTCGGTTACATTTACATAATGGCTAATTATGGCCATAAAGTGTGAATGTTACAACTTTTGGAATGCCTTTAATAGTTTCATTTTGAGGCTATATAAAGCCATCTATGTTGTATTTGTAATAAGACTTAGAAGATATATCAAAAGAAGCATTTGTGCTTTTCTTTAGCCAATGGCTAAGTTTCTTTGCAACTCTATGTAGTTTAGGTTGCATGTAGAATCATTCAAGCTCGACATGATCAATCTTGCTTGTGGAGTGATTCGAATCTCAAACAAGTGTTCTTGTCTTGAGATATTTGATCAACAAGAATCATTGAAGCTAGACATGATCGATCTTGCTTCTGGAGTGATTCGAATCTCAAACAAAGTGTTCTTGGCTTGAGATATTCGATCAACAAGGTAATCCGAATCTTATTCCCCTTGTATTGATTCCTTATCTTATCATTTGGTATCAGAGCTTCAGGCTCAAGATCGGATATATGTTTCCTTTGCGTTTCTTCTCAATTTGATTTTTATTTATTTTCATCTTTTTAGTTTTTAATCGACCCAAAGTTCAAAATTCAATCTTTGCTCTATTTAAAATTTTGAGAGGTGAGAATGAGAGCTTCATTTGTGTAAATGAGTGCAAACAGAGTGGCCTAAAATTCCTTGAGTGTATACACGTGAGAGAGTGTTGTGAGGTCCTTTGTATTTCCATAACTTATTTTTTGCAGCAAAGTTTCACAAATAGATTCGAGGACGAATCCTCTTGAAGAAGTGGAGAATGATATGAACCAAGAGACATCAATCATACAATATGCTTCAATGAAGATGTGAAGAAAAGGTTGTCAAAATTATCAAAAGATGTTTCAATTCATGCTACATTGAAGAAGAATAAAGTTTGATTGTTGTAAATTTTGGGTGGGTTATAATTTAGAGTTATTGTATTTTAAGACAATTTATTTAATTTCGGTTACATTTACATAATGGCTAATTATGGCCATAAAGTGTGAATGTTACAACTTTTGTAATGCCTTTAATAGTTTCATTTTGAGGCTATATAAAGCCATCTATGTTGTATTTGTAATAAGACTTAGAAGATATATCAAAAGAAGCATTTGTGCTTTTCTTTAGCCAATGGCTAAGTTTCTTTGCAATTCTATGTAGTTTAGATTGCATGTAGAATCATTCAAGCTCGACATGATCAATCTTGCTTGTGGAGTGATTCGAATCTCAAACAAGTGTTTGAGATATTTGATCAACAAGAATCATTGAAGCTAGACATGATCGATCTTGCTTCTGGAGTGATTCGAATCTCAAACAAAGTGTTCTTGGCTTGAGATATTCGATCGACAAGGTAATCCGAATCTTATTCCCCTTGTATTGATTCCTTATCATATCAACAAGGTTTCAAATCTTGCTTCTAGATCTTCGATCGTAAGAGGTAATCTAATTCTAGCCTTATCTCTTGGTTGATCCAATTTTCGTATAAGGAGGTGTTAATTACTTTGATTCAAGGGTTCTTCTTGCTAAAATAAAAGCTTGGATCGTTGGACTAAGGATTAGGGTTGCCTTATCAGAACCTATGTCATATGATGGGAGTTGCGGTGTATTGAGCACTGCTCTACTATGTGCTATTCATGGTGCTACCGTAGAAAATCCCTTAATTGAAGATGGTGATGGTGCAAATACATTCCGTGCTTTTAACCCAACTGAAGCTGAAGAAACTTATTCAATGGTCACTGCTAACCGCTTTTGATCCCAAATCTTTGGGGATGCTTTTTCCAATAAACATTGGTTACATTTCTTGATGTTATTTGTACCAGTAACTGGTTTATGGATGAGTGCTCTTGGAGTAGTTGGTCTAGCCCTGAACCTACGTACCTATGACTTCATTTCTCAGGAAATTCGTGCAGGGGAAGATCTTGAATTTGAGACTTTCTATACCAAAAATCTTCTCTTAGACGAAGGTATTCGTGCTTGGATGGCGGCTCAAGATCAGCCTCATGAAAACACACCTTATATTCCCTTAGGAGGTTCTACCCCATGGAAACACTCTTTAATGGAACTTTCACTGTAGCTGGTTGTGACCAAGAAACCACCAGTTTCGCTTGGTGGGCCGGGAATGCCCGACTTATCAATTTATCCGATAAACTACTAGGGGCTCATGTAGCCCATGCCGAATTAATCGTATTCTGGGCCGGAGCAATGAACCTATTCGAAGTGGTTCATTTCGTACCTGAGAAGCCCATGTATGAACAAGGATTGATTTTCCTTCCCCCCCTAGCTACTCTAGGTTGGGGCGTAGGTCCTGGTGGGTAAGTTATAGACACCTTTCCGTACTCTGTGTCTGGAGTACTTCACTAAATTTCCTCCAGGTATTGGGTTTTGGCAGTATTTATCATGCACTTTTGGGACCCGAGACCCTTTGATATGAACCAAGAGACATCAATCATATAATATACTTCAATGAAGATGTGAAGAAAAGGTTGTCAAAATTATCAAAAGATGTTTCAATTCATGCTACATTGAAGAAGAATAAAGTTTGATTGTTGTAAATTTTGGGTGGGTTATAATTTAGAGTAATTTAGAGTTATTGTATTTTAAGACTTTTTATTTAATTTCGGTTACATTTACATAATGGCTAATTATGGCCATAAAGTGTGAATGTTACAACTTTTGTAATTTTCATTTTGAGGCTATATAAAGCCATGTTTGTTGTATTTGTAAAAAAGACTTAGAAGATATATCAAAAGAAGCATTTGTGCTTTTCTTTAGCCAATGGCTAAGTTTCTTTGCAACTCTATGTAGTTTAGGTTGCATGTAGAATCATTCAAGCTCGACATGATCAATCTTGCTTGTGGAGTGATTCGAATCTCAAACAAGTGTTTGAGATATTTGATCAACAAGAATCATTGAAGCTAGACATGATCAATCTTGCTTCTGGAGTGATTCGAATCTCAAACAAAGTGTTCTTGGCTTGAGATATTCGATCGACAAGGTAATCCGAATCTTATTCCCCTTGTAGTTGATTCCTTATCTTATCACCCTTGAAGAATCTTTTCCATTCTTCGGTTATATGTAGAAAGATAGAAAACAAATGACTACCATTTTGGGTATTCACTTAACTTTGTTAGGTATAGGTGCTTTTCTTCTAGTATTCAAAGCTCTTTATTTTGGGCGTATATGACACCTGGGCTCTGGGGGGAGGAGATGTAAGAAAAATTACCAACTTGACCCTTAGCCCAAGTGTTATATTTGGTTATTTACTCAAATCTCCTTTTGGGGGAGAGGGATGGATTGTTAGTGTGAACGATTTGGAAGATATAGTTGGGGGTGTATGTATGGTTAGGTTCCATTTGTATACTTGGTGGAATTTGGCATATCTTAACTAAATCGTTTGCATGGGCTCGCCACGCACTTGTATGTTCTGGAGAAGCTTACTTGTCTTATAGTTTAGGTGCTTTATCTGTTTTTGGTTTTATTGCTTGTTGTTTTGTCTGGTTCAATAATACTGCTTATCCGAGTGACTTTTACAGACCGACTAGACCCGAAGCTTCTCAAGCTCAAGCTTTTACATTTCTAGTTAGAGACCAATGTCTTGTAGCTAACGTTGGATCCGCTCAAGGACCTACTGGTTTAGGTAAATATCTAATGCTCCGACCAGAGAAGTCATTTTTGGGGGAGAGACTATGCGTTTTTGGGATCTGCGTTCTCCTTGGTTAGAACCACTAAGGGATCCTAATGGTTTGGACTTAAGTAGGCTGAAAAAAGATATACAACCTTGGCAAGAACGACATTCCATGGAATATATGACCCATGCTCCTTTCGGTTCTTTAGATTCCGTGGGTGGTGTAACTATTGAAATTAATGCAATCAATTATGTCTCTCCTAGAAGTTGGCTAGCTACCTCTCATTTTGTTCTAGGATTCTTCCTATTTGTAGGTCATTTATGGCATGTAGGAAAAGGCTCGTGCAGCAGCCCAGGATTTGAAAAGGGAATTGATCGTGATTTTGAAGTTGTTCTTTTTATGACTCCTCTTAACTGAGACAGGCGATCTAATGCTGGAAGTCAAAATCAATTTGATTCCACCATATATATCAGGTTGGACGGCTCGGGTTATATTTGAAAAGTCTTCCCTTTTCCTTTATTCATTTCTATCTAATCTTTTTTTCTTTCTTCTTTGTCGCCTTCCGCTAGCCATATTCGAAGGGGGCTCAATCTGGGACCCTAATCTGGGATGTTTGAAGCACGTGCGAATAAACTGAGTAACGGTCAATGTTTTTCGAAATTTTGTGGGGAATGATCAAGTTTGATGATTTAGAATAGGATGTCGAAGAAATGGAGTGTATAAAATAGTAAAAGAGTGCTTATAAAATTGAAACCTTAATCCGGAACGTTTGAAGTACGTACTAAAAAAACCAGTAATGGGCGACATTTTCAAAAAATTTTGTGGAGAATGATTAGACTTGATGATTTAGAATAGAATTTTGAAGAAACGGAGTGTACAAAACAGTAAACGATTACTTAAAGTTGAAACCCTAATCGGGGACATTTGAAGCACGTGCAAAAAAAAAAAAAANAAAAAAAAAAAAAAAAAACAAACCGAGTAAAACTAGATGTTTTTCAAAATTTTTGGAGAATGATCAGGTTTGGTGATTTAGAATAGAACGTCGAAGAAACATAGGGTATAAAACAGTAAAAGAGTGCGTAAAATGGAAAACTTAATTTGGAAACCCTACTCTTGGACATTTGAAGCATGTGCTGAAAAAACCGAGTGACACTCTACGTTTTTCGAAATTCCTGGGAGGAATGATCAAGCTTGATGACTTAGAATAGAATGTCATAGAAACATAGTGTATAAAAACATGAATAGAGTGTATAAAATCAAAACCCTAATTTAGAAACCCTAATCCAAGACGTTTGAAGTACGGGCTAAAATAACCGAGTCACGGTCGACGCTTTTCAAAACTTTTGTGGGGAATGGTCAATAGGGGTGTACATCCAACCCAACAACCCGGACCAACCCAACCCGAACTATAAGGGTTGGGTTGGGTTGGGTTGGATTAGCATTACGGGTAGGGTTGGGTTCATTTTTCTGAACCCGAACTGAATCGGTTCGATTTTTGGGTTCGTGGGCAAAACCCTCGGGTTGACCCAAGTCAAACTTAAATATATAAAATATATTAAAAAAATTTCTTTGGTCAGTTTAGGAGACTCACGCTCAAGTTCGAATCTAGGCAGAGTATTTTTCTTATATTTTTTCTACTCTAACTAATTTTCAAGAAATATTAGCATTTACCGGTCTTTAGAATTATATATATGGCTATATACCATATTTTTATATATTTTTATTTCAACTAAAATATTTATATATATATATATATATATTTTCTTATTTTCTTATATTTCTCTTACTTTAACCAATTTTCAAAAAAGGATAGCCTTTAGTGGTACATTGGCATTTAGGGGTCTTTAATAACAATGTTCAACTATGTTAATATGTTACCATTTTTGCTCGTTGTTTTTTATTGATTTTTTTTAATAATTATGGATTGATTTGTGTTTGTTTATCATACTTTTAATATATTTTATCTAACATTGTATCCGAATAATTATAAATTATGGATAAATAAAAGTTAAAAAAAAAAATTGGCAACTCAACCCGAAAATAGAGGGTTGGGTTGGATTGGGTTATGAAAAGTTTTGGGTTGGGTTGGGTTACTAAACCAACCAACCTGAACTTTTGGGTTGGGTCAAAAAAATCCGTCAATCCAACCCAACCCGGACCATATACACCCCTAATAGTCAGGCTTGATGATTTAGTTGAATGTTGAAGAACCAGAGTGTAAAAAACAGTAAAAGAGTGCTTAAAGTTGAAACCCTAATCTAGGAGGTTTGAAGCATGTGCTAAAAAAACTGAGTAACGGTCGACGTTTTTCAAAATTTCTGTGGGGAATGATCAGGCATAATGATTTAGAATAGAATATCGAAGAAACGGAGTGAATAAAATAGTAACGAAGTGCTTATAATCGAAACCCTAATTTGGAAACCTTAATCCAGGACGTTTGAAGCACGCGTTAAAAAAATCGAGTCACGATCGACGTTTTTTGAAACTTTTGTGGGGAATGGTCACGCTTGATAATTTAGAATAGAATATCGAAGAAATGGAGTGTAAAAAACAGTAAAAGATTGCTTAAAGTCGAAACCCTAATCCAAGACGTTTGAAAAATGTGCTAAAAAAACTGAGTAACGGTCCACATTTTTCAAAATTTCTGTGGGGAATGATCAAGCATAATGATTTAGAATAGAATTTCGAAGAAATGAAGTGAATAAAACAGTAAAGGAGTGCTTATAATTGAAAGCCTAATTTGGGAACCCTAACGTGGGACATTTGAAGTCGAAACCCTAATCCAGGACGTGCTTAAAGTCGAAACCCTAATCCAGGACGTGCGAATAAAACCAAGTAACGCTCGACATTTTTCAAAATTTTTATGGGAAATGATCAAGCTTGATGATTTAGAATAGATGTCGAAGAAACAGAGTGTATAAAATAGTAAAAGAGTGCTTAAAATTGAAACCATAATTTGTAAACCCTAATCCGGAACGTTTGAAGTACGTGCTAAAAAAACTAAGTAATAGGCGACATTTTCACAAATTTTTGTGGGGAATGATTAGGCTTGATGATTTAAAATAGAATTTCGAAGAAACGAGTGTACAAAACAGTAAATGATTGCTTAAAGTCGAAACCCTGATTTGGGACGTTTGAAGCACGTACAAAAAAAATCTGAGAAAAACTAGATGTTTTTAAACAATTTTGCAAGGAATGATCAAGCTTGGTGATTTAGAATAGAACGTCGAAGAAACATAGGGTCTAAAACAATAAAAGAGTGCGTGAAATCGAAAACCTAATTTGGAAACCCTAATCTGAGACATTTGAAGCATGTGCTAAAAAAATTGAGTAACACTCGACGTTTTTCAAAATTTTTGGGACAAATGATCAGGCTTGATGACTTAGAATAGAATGTCATAGAAACAGTGTGCATAAAACATGAATAGAGTACTTAAAATCAAAATCCTAATTAGGAAACCCTAATCTAGAACGTTTGAAGCACGCCCTAAAAAAATCGAGTCACGGTCGACACTTTTCAAAATTTTTGTGGCGAATGGTTAGGCTTGATGATTTAGAACAGAATGTCGAAGAAACGAAGTGTAAAAGACAGTAAAAGGGTTGATATGAACCAAGAGACATCAATCATACAATATGCTTCAATGAAGATGTGGAGAAAAGGTTATCAAAATAATCAAAAGATGTTTCAATTCATGCTACATTGAAGAAGAATAAAGTTTGATTGTTGTAAATTTTGGGTGGGTTATAATTTAGAGTTATTGTATTTTAAGATATTTTATTTAATTTCGGTTACATTTACATAATGGCTAATTATGGTCATAAATTGTGAATGTTACAACTTTTGTAATGCCTTTAATAGTTTCATTTTGAGGCTATATAAAGCCTTGTATGTTATATTTGTAAGGTAGACTTAGAAGATATATCAAAAGAAGCATTTGTGCTTTTCTTTAGCCAATGGCTAAGTTTCTTTGCAA